CATTTCTTCACCTTGCCCCAAGAGTTCTTCATGGTCCTGACCAGCCTCATCCGGGCATCCATCTGTGACCTTTTTCCATGGGACCATTTCGGCTCAGCCCTTGGCTTTTAGTCCATGCCTGGTTGTATCGAGGTCTGTCTCCACCTCTTTTGTGGCTGTTTCTGGCCATAGACGCTGTTTGTCTGGACCCTGACACATGGACTGGCTTCCTGGCTTGACCTCAGACCTGCCTGGCAATCATTGGAGTGTGTCTGGCACTGGCTACCACCATGCGGGCTGACCCTGATCTGAAGATCAACTTCTCAGCTGGAACTTGGACCTACTGTGTCACCACAAACTTATCTGATGATCTGGACTCTCAGCTGAACCCGACTCCCACCCCTGAGCCTGCCCCGCTCCTACGTTGTGCTCCCATGCTGTGGGACATGCCCTGGCTGTCGAGCCCCTGTCCTGCCAGCCTTGTTATCTCCCTTATCTCCTGGCTTCCTGTTGGTTAGAAGCAGCTGGCCCCTGCCTGTGCCTTGACAGAAGGAAGCTTTCCCGGTAAAACATGTTGTCCCTGTCCCACCACCCAAGTCCAATTCTTCCTCTGCAAGTCCAGCCTTTTCTCCTGCAAAGCTCCACAACAGCCCTTCACTCCCTAGGATCTGTCTCTAAGCCACTGAGAGCCCCAGCAAACTCAGCCTCCTGTGACCAGCTCACCAGGCTAGGAGGTGCTGCAAGATGGGCTGCCACCTGGACAGTCCCTAGCTGTATCTGTGGTGACAAGTCACTGAGACTCAGTGAGCAGGCTGATGTGCATCCTGGATATTGTATATTGCTTTAAGCCCTGGAAGAGAGGCTGAGAGAGATCACAACGGAAAAGGTTAATCATATAGCTATTTTGAGTCCTTCTCCCTGTGCTGGGGTGGAACGAAACCATCCCAGCAGTGCTCCGAGGCATTGGCATCTGTGCTTATGGATCCCAATGGATTAGCACTGACTCTTGCAAATACTCTGCACTCAATGCACCCAACAGCAAAGTGAAGGAAGTAGGTTGAAATGGAACTGGGCAGGGTGTTTCGAAGCAGATATGGTGGTCAGTGGGTGACCAGAGGTTTTGGGTGTGAGGCGCTCTGCCAAAGCTGGGGAGTATGGTTGAGAAGGAGCTCTGGGGAGCGGGGCCTGGGCTCAGCATGAGCGTGTTCTGTCAGCTGGCAGGCGAGGTGGGACACTGTGTGGTGCGCTCAGGAAGGCGGCCAGCGGATTCCTCAGCGATGGGGTAGCTCTGAATGACCTCAGAGCACAAATGGTCTGTGCAGCTGGTGGACTCCTCTGAGCACTCTGCCTGTGCTGAGGAGAGCTCAGGGCCTCAATTCTCTGTCCAGGAGGCAGCTCCCAGCCTGTAGCACCCTGCAGATCGGCTCTTTTCCCTGCCTGCTGAGGCTGGAGGGGAGGAAAGTGTTGGCAGCTCACAGAATTAGTAGAAGTAGAAAGGCAATGGGGAAAGTCAAAGCGCTATTGCCACCCCAGCATCAGGCACAAAGCTGGTTCTGAAAAGGGCTGAGCAAAAGTGAATGCTGGAAATGAAGGGACTGTGACTGCTCTGAAAAGCTGCCACAGTGATGTTCTGGGTAAGTGCTTATAGTCAGTTTGAATATATACAGACAATCTGAGTATTGCCATAGACTACAATACTAAAAGAGCAATGCCATTTTAGATACTAGTAAAGGAACCTGATGTTCGTGTTTCAGCAGCTTTTTCTCACACATATCCGTGCTGATAAGCCTCTGTAGCACCAAAGAGTGCTCTCCTGGGCTCAAATGGCGTGAAATCTTCCATCGCCCTAGACACTGTTGGTGCCTCTGATAGTACAGAATTGAAACTAAAGAGCCATGAGGGGTTGGGTAACTCTGAAACAGTACAGACCTCCTCACCCAACTTACCTCTTGTGGAAATCACCAGAGTCATTAGCCAGGGATAATATGAAGAAGGTTTCACACTAAGGCTAACACTTGACAAACTGTCCTGCTAACACAGCCAGTCCCCTCAGTGTTCCAGTTGCAACCATACATCTGGTATCATCTGGTTTTTGAACAATCACTCACTCAAAGGAATTCAACCCTGATCCTTTAGAATTATGTAAGGTGTGTGCTTGAAGAATTGCTGCTATTCTGATGGAATTGAAATGGTCTGTTGTGTGTATTCCAAGGAAGAGGGATAAGGGAAGAGAAACAAGGACTAAAGAGGTGTGGGAAAGTCCTTGTCAACTAGGTCCCTTTGCTGCAACTACTTTAGGCCAGCTATTCCTCATGCAGTTGTCACTGTGCCCCCGCCTGCCACATCTGGCCATTATTTTCCTGTGTGCTGCCTATTATGAGCCAGGCATGCAAGGGACAGGATATTTATCATGCTGAACCCAACAATAATTCAGAAGTGGAAAAGGATGCATTTTCATAAAGTATTTGTTGTTAGATATCACAGGCCATCCCCAATGTTTGTGTGGTGTGTGTCACAAAGCATGAACATGCATCTGAAAGGAGTCTTTGCAGTGGACAGTATCAGGCTATCTGAACAGAAATGCCATTAATACCCACTTGTAATTCCTCCTCTCTTCCACCTTTCTTCTTCCATTCACCTCCAATGGTTGCCTATAGAGTTTGCCTGAAGGATGTGTAGAGATCCACAACTGACTTTGACTTACTGCAAGATTCTTTGTGGGTCTGCTTACAGCCCTGAAAGCAAATTGTTCTGCATGGCTGGAGACAGTGCCTCTTCAAGTCCACAGCCTGGGACCAACTTTCTGAAAGACAAAGGTGATGGTGATTACATCATATTTCCAGCTCTGCCAGTGTTGACTTTGACAGATATCTTGGTTGCCAGCAGCACAAAATGTGTGCAGCATGGGTGAGATTGGTGGAGGTGTTAAATCACAATAGTGCTGACATGCACAAATGATTATTTCATTAGTAGGATAGCAGGCCCTAGGACCTCCACCAGCTGCGCTGTGCCCAATCCTCAGGGAACAGAGAGCAGGGAGTCTCACACACGTGTGATACAATTTTCTCTGTGTTGTGGGAATGCATGGCAAGCACTGCAGATGTAGTGTTAGATGAACGGCAGGGAGGGGGCAAGCTCTCAGCCAAATCGCTACTTGTTGGTGCACCATAGGTAAGACCGTGACAGAGGTCTCTTCTCTGAGCCAAACCACTCAGCAGGTCCCACTCTCAGTAGTGATGGAAAATATAGGGAATCTATTTCTTAAAAAAATCAGCTGAAAAATCAGGAAGACTACTGATTTTGTTCATAGATCTGGAAGCAGGTTTGAGTTAGAGATTGGAGTGGAGAGAGTGGGACTGGAGAGTCAGGGAACCTGGGCTCCTTTCCCAGCGTTGCCTTGTAACCGTGACTTCAAGCAAGTCCCCAGGGACACTTGTCAGTTTGACTTCTGACTTCCGTCTCAAGGAGGGGCAACAGTCTCACCCATTCTGTCCCTGAGAAGACTAGATAATACAGGGGCTGTGTTCCTGGGGAGCAGTGGTTACACTACACCATTATCCCAGTGCTGAACTCTTGGATATTGGAGAGGTTTCTCCTACAGACTTGCACCACCTCCAGCTATAATGTTCCTGCCTGTAGTGACTTGGCACATTGAAGGCCTTTGCCAATCAGTGGAGCATCCTTCAAGAAGGAGTGTGAAAGGGCAGCCTTGAATGGCACAAGACCTTTAGGTCATCAGCAACACAATGTCATTTCCCACCTCTTATCCAGAAGCGCAGGGACAGCAGGGAGCCTGACTCTGCTCTTGTCCTCTGATTTGCACCATCTCTGAGCGGCAGCAGACTGACTCTTCACAGTTCTGTGATGGCAGCCCAGTGCATCTCACCTTATTGCCCCTATGTGGGGCAGAGCACCGAGTGACAAGTCCTTGGTGTAATCACCCTCCCTTCAAAGAGCAAGCAAGAAGGTTCAGTCCTGTGCTGGAGCCCTGGAGTACTTACGGTTATGGGGGCTGCTCTGCTCTCTTCTGTTAGACTTTCATCTCTGTCCTCTCTCAGCCTTCCTCGCCATACTGTGCCCCTAGAAAGAGCACAGAGGCTCATTAGGGCAGCTTAAGCCTTACAGGATTCCCACATGGCCCAAGCTCTAGGGAACAGGGAGGACAGTGCTGTGACACTCCTATGTCACAGCTGCATGCATCACTGCTTCAGATACATAAATTGAACCATCTCCTTGAGAGAAAAAACACAGTGCTTTAGAGTCAAGATCTGGGACCTGCACAGTGTCCATGTCCCCAGGACCTGCTTTCATCTCCACGCTCAAGTGTTAGAAAGCAGACTTTGGCACAGAAATGTAGTCTGGGTGAAGGTAATGAGAAGAGGTGAAATGCCTGCAAGTCATTGTAGTTACTGTTAATAATTTTGCCTTTGCTGTAACGCTCTGTAGTACTGCTGTGTGCGAGGAGCCTGACCCACCATGCCCCACGAAAGGCTCTTGAACCAGTTACGGTTTGTGCCTGATCTCTGACGTGCACTGATGCAGGCAACTGTGACTGACACGTCTTCAGCCCCTTTGGTGGCCAAGAGCAAGCGCTGGCAGACAATGGTCGTTCTGAGCCCTGCCGTCAGGGACCTACTCTTCCTTGGCACAGCCCCAGCACAAGGACCATGCCCCAGCCCACGGAGCTGCTCTGTTCCCTCAGCCGTAATGAGAGCCCAAGCTGGAGGGAAGGGCTGAAATGGGTGGGTCTGCCGAAGGGTCCCTGGGGCTT